AACTTCCAAGACTAAAACTAATTCTAATACTAAAATCTAACAACCTAATTAATGCCTATTTTTTTCTAACCATTTCTATTTTCAGAATTTTATTTCATTATCTTATTTTTTTTCGTTTTCTTCTCTTATTCTGGGTCCTTCCTCTGAATCAAATCTTCACTGAGATACTCCATGAATTTCAGCATCACCTCAATTAAAGCAATTGGCAACAGCCATGCCCAATGATTAAGAAATCGTCAACATACAAACACCACATCACGGGTAATATGAACGACACTGGGATGGGCTTCAGATCAATGCAATCTGCACCCCAGAGAGAGTGACCAGCAAAGGAATGGTGATGACAGCCCATATCCAGCAAGTTCAAGGCACAACAACATGGTTATTTGTTGATAAAAATTATCACCAATTCACCATAACATTCTCCTAAATCATCATACATGTTCACACGATAAAAATGACATCACAACATGCCAAAATTGAACCCCAATCAGATAAGTCAGCAAGTCCAAATTCCATTCCAGCATGATCAAACATGACAACGGTTCTATTTCTTTCGAAATTGACATGTATTCTTTACACCCATTCATTGCCCACTCATTTTATGAAAAGTATATGCAAGTATCAGCTACATGAATAAACCGTCCAGGTTGCAAAACAGAACACAAAACGCACACTCCAATTATGATTCAATATCAAATCAAAACTTTGGTTTAATCCCTGGCTATCCATAAAAATGCTGAGGTAAGAGATCGTATTGATATAGCTTCATCACATGCCGGAGGGGTTTTGGTAGGAGGACTGAAGAAAAGCAAATGTTAAGCATAGCCTGCTAAAAACTTGGTTTCACAAATCGCAAGACACCAATTCCCTAAAGCAAGCAATAATTCCCCAAAGAACTGCAGCTACTACAAATTTTTTTGGGGAATTAAAATATTCAAGGCCTCAAGCTTTCCAAATACGATCACAACATAATACTGACTCTGGAGAGCAAGATGAAAACCAAAAAAAGAGAGAGCAGGCAAGGAAGGATTCACCTTTACTGAATTGATCTTTCCTTACCAAATTTACATGCATATACCCATACTCAAACCCTTCAAGTTGCGAGCAATGCGGATGCGGAAAGAGCAGGAGTTTCGCCCAGTTCCGTACAACTTTGACTCCGTCCTTGTGGGGCCTTGAAACAGAGCAATAACAAAAATGCGAATGACGGACAGAAAAGAAGAAACACATGTAATGAAGACAATGAAATGCAGAGAGAAGGATAGAGAGTCCATAGTTATGATTGTGGCCTTGTCAAGCGCAGTCAGCGAGCTTCTATTTTAAGAGACAAGCTCTCGGTAGCGTATTCAGCAGATTTAAGCAGACACCACTGCTCATTCACAAGGAAGACATGTCCAGTAAACAAAACATTTTAAGCACCAGCAGAAAAAGATGACAAATCTAATCCAACAAGAAGAGTATATAACAAGTTTAATCCAACAATAAGCATATGACCAGCAGAATCAACACGGTTATACTCGAATTTTGGCAAACATAATTCAGTATTGATTTAGTTTCGTATAGGATTCACCACCGATAAAACGACGACTGATATTTTGACGATGTTAAAGCATGAATACTAAACAGAGAAGATGTTAGCATGGCGCTGTGAAGATTTAGCTAAAAAATACTCACTTCTCTAATCTTCACTCATTTACACACATATATGCAAAAGCACTCACCAAACACCTCATTGCACTCTGTTTTTATTCTTTCCTCATACTTTTTAATGTTAGTTCATGGCAAAGAAGTAATCCATCTAAGGCAAGACCTTCTAGGCTCTCAATAGATTCAAGAGTAAGACATCACTCCTCTTTACCCCGGTCAGAATTCACCAGTCCATGTATTTTGCACCTCAAACGGTTCTACCTTCATATTATTTCCGGACAAAATCACATTATAATGCAAGCCAATAGGCACATCTGCCTCTTGAGAAATTTGATATCCTATCATATCAATATGAAAGCTTCCCTGGCCACTATGACAAATAGCAATCAGTGCAATTGAGAAATCCTCAATTGGCCCAAATGACAGCTCAAAGAAAATTCACGAGTGTAATCAAATTCGGATGCGCGAAATTATCAAAGCATCGTTATTGTCGCGACCTCTCCGAACCGATCCGTTAGGCCAAGAGGTATTTGTCAAGGACCGAGGCACTCCAAAGCCTCATACCTCACGCGATAAGAATTGTCTAATTTACGCATTTTGAATGGAGTCGCCACTAGCCATGATCAAGGGTCGGCTAGAAACCCTAATCGAGACGCGGGAGCGTCATCTCGATGCGTGCGAAAACCAGAGATTCCAAAATTCGGGGACTTGATTACACTAGCGATCTAACTAGTGCCCTTTCGGTACCTAAACTTGAACGTTCGCAAACTAACGTACCGGGCAGCCTATCGAAAAGCCTAAAGCTCGTCCTAACCATGCTAAAAATGGAAAATAACAACTAATGTATTTAAAGTGCACAACCAAAATAAACAACCAGCGACCTATCATCGTCTCTAGAAAGGAAAAGGCAATCAAAAGCCCCAAGGTAAAGCCCTAATGGCTTGTCCGATTTTTTTGAGAATTTTTTAAAGGATTTTCTCAATTGTTACGAATTTTAAACTAAGCCCAGAATGAAATTAAAACTAATATCTAGTGAAATCAAGCCCAAAAAGTGATTTTTGAACATTTTCTAATTCTCTGAATTTTTTGGATTTTTTTAAATGTTTTTTAATATTTTAATATTTTTTTTGGATTTTTGAATTTTTAAATATTTTTTAATGTTTTAATATTTTTAATAATATAATAATTCCGGACCGGGTCCCCTGACCCGATCCGCCCGACACATGACCCGGGACCTCCTTTTCTATTTTCTTTTCTGATTTCTTTTTTATTCCTCTTTTTCTTTTTCTTTTTTTTTGTTTCTCTTTCTTTTCTAATTTTCCTTTTTACTTTCTTTTCTGGTCTTCCTCCCTTCTGCCATGCACGAGGTCTTCTTCACCGAGAGCTTCCTCAGCTGTTTCTTCATGGCGCCTTCACCGAGCCTCGCCGGGACCACGCCGAGGAAGCCCACCGCCGGTCGACAGCTCGGACCGCCAGCGCCGACGACCGGCGCTGGTCGTACGCTGTCACCGCCGGTCGACATTCCGGCGACGATACCGACGACTTACTCCGGTCACGGAACCGACATTAACGTGTAAAAATCCGATTTCTCGGCTCTCAAATTCTCGACCACCCCATGTAGACAGTAACACTGAACATACAAGGATATACACACATCAAATGAAGATAGAGAGCTAACTGTTTCGCTCCAAATCGCGAGCATACCTGGCAACCGAGAATGAAACTTCCGACGAGGAAACGTATACACGCGGCTGACTCGGAGATGTGTGACCCGCGACGAAACCACATGAACAAAAGTGAGAAATTTGAAGTCAATGACAATAACAGAGCAAATCGTGCATAAATCAACACTCTAGAGTATCGATTTTCATGGAGTTCATCTCGGATCTCACTTGGGCATTTTACCGAGCGGATGCTGTGCGACTAAAATTACGAGTTTCTAAGTCGATTTCAGTGGGGTTTAAAGGTTTTTCTTGGAAGAGATCGGTCAAGAACACATCCTGGAGGTGCAAAGAAACATTTTCCTCGTCTTGTGGTGCCGAACGATCACCGAATGGACTCGGTGTGCCTGGCACCCGAGAGGCAGGGGAGGGGAAGCCAAAACAGGGGAAGGCCGAGAGAGACCCACCTGGTTCACGGCCGACCGGAGCGAGGTGCGACAGCTGGGGGCTTCGGCGTCGATTCGGGTGGCCCTCGGGTGAGCGGGCGAGACTCGGACCTCTCCGATTCCCCTCAACTCTCTCCCGATCTCCTCTTTCTCTCTGTTTTTTTTCTCTCACGGTTTCACCTCCGTTCTCTCTTTTTTTTTTTTTTTGAACTGTCCTCCCCCTTTCTCAGTCTCTTCTCCCTCCTTTTTAACTCTCCTCTCGAACGTTGAAGCCAACACCATTTTTAAAACCCTTTCTTCTCTTCTCTCTCTGCATGTGCAGACTGTAAATTTTCCTCTTTCGTGTGTACATGAATGGAAACCAGAGAGAGCAATAAAGGCCTTCGTCTCAGTCCCGGGAAGAAGTGTTTTTCTTTGGTCCTTTCTTTGACTTTTCCTCTCTCGTGTTCTCCCCTTTCTCTGGACCTCTTGCTCCTCCTTATGTGTGCAGACCCCATTTCATGCTTTAGTGATATGTACTGCGGCAGCCAAAGAGAGAGAGAGTATGACAGCCCATTTTTTTGTGTTGCTTTTGACCTTGGACGTCCTACTCTTTTGTCCTTTCTTATTTTGCTTCTTTTGTGAAAATGGGGATGAAGATTGACAGAGAACATCCTTTCGTATCAGCCCAGCTAAGAACTCCACTTTTGTCTTGTCTCCTTTTTTTCTTTTTTGAAATTTTTATAGTGATTTTTTTTTACATAAAATAAAAAATGAAATAAAATAAAAAGAAAATATGTTTCACTAAATTCTACTAATGCAAATGCGCCTAATATCTATATGCCATGAAAATATTTTTGTTTAGGGGTTAAAAAATTAAACCCTGATTTTTATGCAATTAAATCCTAAATGAATAGGCAAAATTTAGGTGTCAACAGTTATAGCAATACCAAAGTAAGACCACAACACCAATCGGCCGAGCAAAAGAATAAACAACCAGCAAGCATAATCTCAACCAAGCGAAGCGAATATAATTCGTCAGAAGCCGAAACGAACTCACGATTCCCCTTGGGTATACGTTACTTGTGGCATAAGTTGACGTGCTTTGCTCATCTAGATATTTGATTAACATGAATCAATACCTGGCAGAATATCAGAAGCAGAGACAACATATATGGATGGATTTGAACAACAAATGAAGCAGTCATGGCATATGGATATCTCGACCACAGTCTAAAATCACCGGAAATAGAAACGCTGTAAGTGAGTCGAACATGTATATATTACACAACGATCATTCCAGACACTAAAGCATAAGAATGCTTCTCAAAATTGTATTCCGATTTCGTTCGGGCATTTTAACGAACATTTGGTGATCTGTGCAAAAACAGAACACATTTTAACGCATCTCTGAGCTCTTCGGACTTCACAGCCTGAAGACTTGGAGAGGTCGAGACCATCGCGAGATACCGGTCCGGCGCGCGACATGGAACCGCAACGTCGCCGGCGCAGCTTCTCGGCGGGGCCCGGTAAAAAAAAATCGAGAAGTCACCGACGGGAGAAGATCATCGAGCTCGCGTTGCACGACACCAGGCACGTGCGAGGCTAAGGAGAACAGAATATGAGCAAATGTTGCTGCTGCTGCTGGAACGGGGGACGACAGAGACGTCATCTTCTCGATGTTGCAAGCGGGAGGAGGAACGAGACATTGTAGCGCGGTGAAGCCTTGGAGGCCGTGGACGACGGCGGTTCCCGTCATCAAAACATGCCAGGATGAGTGTGATTTCATCGACTCCTTCGTCGACGAAGATGATCCTAGTAGAGTATTGGTCGCGCGATAACCTCCTCTCTCCCTCTGTGTCCAGAAGCAAGCGAGAGCGAACGCGTGCCTGCAAAATCGTGCTGGTTTTTCATCCAAGGGTTAATTCGTGTTCCCCGATCGAATCAAGTAATCGAAACACGCAATTCGAGACTTGTTCTTCAAGTAAAAAATCTGGGGAAACAAGGTGTCCCCCACATACATACCTTCAGTAAGGAAAATTAGGGCTCGATCATGGCGGATATGAGCGATCTTGTCCCAGTCCTCGCCTCCATCTCTCTCGCACCTCCTCTCCAATTCTGGGCAACCGGAGATGCTCAGGTAAGTAAGGGATAAGAGCCTTCGCATCCCTTCGGGTAATGACGTCAGCGAGGGGCACGCGTGGATTTGGAGCAGCTGAAGCGATTGGAGGGCCTCGAGATCTTGTAAATCCTTCAAATTGTCGCACCAGCAAATGATGAGGCGCTCGACATTGCGGAGCCGTAGAAGCCACCGCGGGAGAGACGCCAGTTTTGGAAGGAGACCGAGATCCACGGAGCGGAGATTCTGAAGTCCTCCATGGAAATCCAAGTCGTTGTTGATGTTGCCGCTTTCGCCTTTGGATAAATCCAACTCCTTACAATTCCAAATACGGAGATCCACGAGGTTCGATAGATGCTGCGGTGAGAGGGAAGTTAACCGATGACATCTATCGATGCGAAGAGATTCGAGGGAGGTGAGGCTTTTCAAACACTCCTCAAGCAAACATTCTGGAAGCTCCGTATCCCTGATTTCCAGGCTCTTCAATTTATTAAGCTCAAATATCATATTTATCAATGCTGGGTTGGACTCAGCCAGCATCAATTTCTCGAGATGCGGAGTTTGTGGCATGGCTTTCAATTTCATACAGCCATCGATCCATAATTCCAATAGGCTAGGAAATGGTGGTGTTGAAGTCGATGAATGGCTTGGCTCGATGTCTTCCAATTCAGGCATCCTCCAAATCGATAAAAACTTGAGGCGAGGTAGTTGGCCTAGTGGAGGGAGACGTTTACATCTTCCGCAAAAGAAGATGCGTACCTCGACTAAATTTGGCAAGGAAGGCGCAAGGTTTTCCGTCAACCACTTTGGAAAGCTCTCACCTTTATATTCCCAGATCGTCAAGTACTGCAGATTTGAATGCGGCTGCAGTCCACCTAACAGCGCTTCATCATCTCTATTCCCGATTATTGCATCATCGGTATCGAAATCGCCCCATTTAAGTTGCAAAGATTCCAGATAATGCTTTCCTATCAAGTTCGCTGCCTTGGATTCTGCTACCACATCCGTCACGCTTCCCAAATTTTCAATGCTAAGGTTTCCTCGAATGTCATTAAGCCCATTTAGCTCCCCAAGCTCGCAACAATCCTTAGCAAGAGCTTTATCTTTGGGCAAAATGAAGCGCGTTAGCCTATGCAGATAACTCAATTGCCCTAGTCCGTATGGCACATAACCAAGTTCATTACATTCATATATGTCTAGATTTCGAAGGTTGACTAACTTCCTTATATCCTTCGGCAATTCTTTAAGGTGGACACAACAATTGAGATTAAGTGTTTGCAAATTCTGCAATCTCGTAATGGAGTTAGGAAGCCTTTTGAGTTCAAAATTGTCAGAGAGATCGAGATACGTGAGATGCTTCAACTTACCAATGGACCTTGGCACCTCCCCCACACATGTGTCATGCAGATCCAATATGCGTAACTTTTTGAAACTTTGAATGAGTAGGCGTAGATCTGCTTCACTTATTGGTCCTCTTGATCTAGTTTCCCCATATCTAGCGACAGACAGAAATGTTCTCAGGGGACTTGCTTTCAAGCGTGAGATTGGAAGTTTACCCATAATATTGGAATTTAAACGATGAGATAAATGACGAGCTCTTTCATGTATGGATTTTGCGTCGTCCAATGCCACCCAATACTCGGTCCCTGCAACTAAGCAAGCTAGATCATGCATCAAATCGTGCATCTTGTAGGTCTCCTCGTTCGTGAGTGGATCTTTTTGAAAATCTTGGAAGAAGTTACTCCATAGTAGATCCATGAAATATCCATGAGCAATGTCTTCTAAATGCTGACTTGTATTTGATTGCCGGATAAATCCTTCTGCCAGCCAAAGATCGACCAAAGTCTGCTTCTTTAACTCATAATCTTTGGGAAACAATGAACAAAATGCGAAACATTGTTTCAAATGTGAAGGAAGATGGTCATAACTAAGTTTAAGAACTGATTTTATGCTGTCTTCCCTTTGAAACACATCCGGAAGCTCGTTATCTTTGAATTGTGACCATTCATGTTTACTTTTTTTAAAGAATAGTAAACTGCCGACAATTCGAACAACCAATGGGACCCCAGAGCACTTTCTAACTATCTCTTTGCCAATGGCTAGCATGTCAGATTCTTGTATCTCCTCTATTTTTCGATCAGCCATTTGTAATAATAAATCAAGAGATGCACTTTCAGATAAGCCCTCAAGGAGATAAGGCGGAGCACCGGTGATCATCGCAACCGAAGGAAGACGTGTAGTTATAAGGATCTTGCTCCCTCTAGCACCTCCGACCAATAAAGTTTTCAAGCCCAGCCATGTTTCTCGCTCTGTATTCCACCAATCATCTAAAACTAAGAGATATCTCTTTCCATCAATTGTTGCCCTCAGTTCACTTGGCAACTGTTCCGGTGCAACCTCTCTTGATTCTTTCCCCTTTGCACAAGCTATAATGTCTTTCATTATTTTTTTCATGTCAAAGTCATCAGAGACACAAACCCACATTTTCAAGTCAAATTTACTATCTTCATACACAGATTTAGCGAGAGTCGTTTTTCCAAGCCCGCCAATACCAACTATTGGAAGGATGGAAATGTTCTCTTTCACGTCTAAATCCTGTAAAATTTTCATAACCCTCTTCTTATCATCATCCCTCCCTGTAATATCTCTCTCACATTTAAACGCACGCATCTCTTTTCTCTTCCTCCACTCTCTCTCTGCTCGTGAATCCACGGGGCGCTCTTCCAAGTAAAATTTCCTTTTAGCCTCAATGGCATGTATTCTCTCCCTCACTGCTCTTACTTTGTCACTCATCTTCAATTTAAAAGCAAGCTGGTTTGAATTTGAGAAAAATGTCCTTACCTCCTTCATCATTTCATTGTGGCCTCTCAGATCTCGTCGCATAGCTTCTATATTGAATTCTTCAAGCACGTCCTGCGCATCATAGAAAGCGTCTTTCAGTTTGTCAACCCAATCTTGGATTTGGGGATTATGGTGGTATTGTTCTTCTGCATGGTCTAGCATAGGCTGAAGCATGGAGACAGTGTCCTTGAGCAGCTCGAGTTCTTGCTTGACCCCCCATAACTTTCCAACCTTGTCTAGTGCTTGAGGAACCAGATATTCAACGATCTTTCCAGTAATGCTGAGGATGACAGCTTCCGCCATTTTTGTTCTATGTATCTCTCTTTCTTTGTCTCTCTGTGGATCAGAAGATAATAGTACAGTCGTTGCAAGGCTATAGGCTTCTCAGAACAGTCGTTGACGCTCACGTAAGACTGGCAAATCAAAATCCCGACAAATCTAATTTTCAACTTCTTTGACCGACTCGAGTTGTTGAAGATAGGAATCCTCATCATCCACGCAAGCCTAAATCAACAATGCATATGGGACCCACCGAGGTCGGGTCCAAGGTCCGCAATTGGTTTGTCTAAATCAAGCCTCATTGTAAGTTGTTATTAAGAATTAAATCTAGTGTAGTTATTGGTGCATAATTTCCTGATGAAATTGACTTTCCCCATATATCAATCTTTTTCAAAAGAAGCTGGCCTTTTTCATCTATTTTTTTTTTTTTGGATTATCTCAAAACAGTTTCGAAAACCATTCCACAACTCAACTTTGATTGGACAGGGACTCTCCCAAATTTTCAAAAATTGCATTAATCTCATTAAGAGCAATTCGGAGAGGGTTAAAGAATTTCTAGATTTTGGTTAATTCATGATTTACTGGATTTTGTCATAATTATCATTCAATGAAAGGTTTTGCCTAGTTAATATATTGGTTTAAAATTACTATTCTTAGTTTAAGGCTTCGTTCTTTATCTTTTCCAGAGGATGGCCAGTCATTTAAGGCTTCGTTCTTTATCTTTTCCAGAGGATGGCCAGTCATTCTCTAAATTTTTGGGTTGGATTTGATGTATGACAAAGTTGGTATCAGAGCTTAACCGAACCGACCTCGAACCAGTCTACCTTTTTATGTTTCATTTTTCATTTTGTGAAGGCCCAATTGCAGGATGAGTTTACTGGCTTAGCAGTTCATAGTTCATGGCCAAAACAAAATTATTTTTGTAGTGAGCAGAGAAATTCTTCGGTGGTAATTGTCATTCTGTCATTCGTATTGCTTCAAATTTCCTATTTTTCCTTGCTTTCTTGGAATTTTTCCAAAGAAAAAAGAAAACGCATAGTACTGTGCTCAGGCTATTCATCTTCAGAAAAGCTTACAGATTAGTTGCTATAAGAAAGAACGAACCTGGCTAATAGTGGGTTGATCGACGGCCGACCAACAAAGGCGAGGCCACAACCGGCGAGATCAAGAGAGGAGGACAGGAGACGGGGTCGGCAAGACCAAGAGAGAGAGATGAGATGAGACGGCGTGGGCAAGACTCCAGAGAGAGAGAGAGACAGAGATCAAGGGCACTGTTGGGGGAAAGTCGAGAGACTAGAGAGTCTAGGAGCAAGGCTAGCTATGAGAGTGAGAATTAAAAGAAAGTAGGAAGGGTTTAAATATAAAAGATTTAGCTTTGTTTTGAACTGTTCCAAACCAGTTCTCCCCAAAAGCTGAGAAAATATTCAGTGGTTACCAAACACCACGTCATCGTCCTATGTGGCGTTCGTGTTCCACCCAAAAGACGACATGTGTCGCGTGACGTGGCAATTGAAGGAAGCCCTTTTGTCTCTCTCCTCTGGCTGGTTGGTGGGCAAAGTACTGACTACAGTAAATATTTATTACCTCTGCGCTCTCGCTCTTTCTCCTCTCTCCTCTCTCCTTTCTGTAACGTGAAGGAGGTCTTTTGCCTTCTCTCTCTTTTGCAACCCATTCTCTTTTCCTCTCCCGAGCTCACCCGAAGCCCTCCCCTCCTTCTCCTTCTTCGCCTCCGGCCTCGCCTTTCCGACTTCAGCTCCAGAAACCGCCTGGAGAAACCGCTTGCCTCGGGTTCCGATTTCGGGCTCGGACGATTTTGATGGGGAAGTGATTTCCTTTTGGCGCCTAAAAATTGAATCTTGACTTCCCAAAGACAATGAAATTCCAGTGCAAACGCTCATTCTCATCGGCTTTCGTAGCTTCATCTGCTAAACCCATCTTCTCTCTCGCTCGCTTGCTCGCACTTTCTGAGTTGGGCATGGCTGACCCAATCTCGAGTCAACTGGAAATTATAGGCAAACTCAAGTGTTCTATATGATGAATCTGCCATACCCAGAAGAAAAAGAAGAGAACTTCTCTCCATTTTTCTCAATAGCGCTTCAGCTTCTGATAGTTCTTTCTGCTTTCTGCCAGATGTTCTGTTCGTTTGATTTGAAATTCATAGGATTAATCAACTCGAGACGGATTGATTTCTTTATTTTTTTGGGATTCGTTCATATTTGGTTAGCGAGGTTGTCGCATTTGAGTTTGAATCGATGCTGGATAAACTAGTTGACATATTTAAGTGTGAACCCTTTACTTATTGCTGTTCGGTAATTGGATTTGTCTATTAGAGAATTGATTGCAGTGTTGTTGATCTTTTGCAGCTTGCTTGAGATGTTATTTTATTGAAGTAGTTCGAATTAGTTGACTTAGAAAAGGAGATGCTCTGCTATGAAGTCCTCTTTTTCGTGTGGTGTATATCCTCGCCCTCACGGATCTATGTTCAACGCTGGTGTGTTGGGATTGGTCTTTCTTTTTACGTTATTTCGCGCTTATTGGTTGGAGACGTGCTACATTATGCCTTGATTCCACCTCTAGAAAAACATGAGAAGCATTTGAGAGAGAGGGCAGAGGGGTTGCCAATGGCACCCCAAACTAGCATGACGATGAATTGCGACATGAATCATACAAAATGATCCATTTTTTTTTTTGTTGTATCTAGATCTCGCTTTGAAAGTCACAACTATGAGGGGACTCTAGCTACACTATCAACAACAATCCTGAGCTATGCCATTGAACAACTATGAGAGGACTCGATTTTCTATTGAAGCTCTCTTCATGATGGATGCTTACAGAAACTCCAGGACAAGAAGGGAAGCCATTGCATTAGGACATAAATCATGTATGTTGAACGACTTTCACAGCCACGACAATGGAAAAGAATATTTTTTCAAGTGAAATTAATGGATAGACCCACTCCGTATACATAGAAATAAAACATAATATACATGATACAATAGCTTGATCATTAATCTTAGCTTTCATGAAAATGGATAGAAATCTCACAAGCTTCTACACAAGCAGAGTTTGGTAACTCAGGCGATTTCAGAATGTAAGTGGCTAAGGTAAAAGAACTTAATTGCGCAGTATCTTTTTACAAGTAAAGAATGAATAGAATGTTGTGAGAGCCTTAATCCGTTCCTTTCCATCTTCCCTGCAAAGCCTATGATCAGATGTACGAGCCTCTTCAGTGCCGGCTCAACAAAGAACATCTTGATAATCTCTAGCCTTAAACACGAAGTGGTTGCCCCTTCTAATCAACGCAGTTACACAGCATGAGCTGCCTCGTGATTCCTCATTCAAAAAATCCAAATCGGTCTTCAGGTAACCGTCTCTGTTTCATCCTGGTCTCTTCTCACCACTTCATCTATGATATACTTACTCAAGTCGGCAAACCCAGTAGCGATTACACCTCTATGCCCAGCAAATATACCAAACAACGCCTGCATATTGAAAGTAGCAGAATCAGGTTAGCGTCCTTGCACGTTGAAGATGGCTATAATGAACTGAACTGACTATAATTCCTTTTAGAACAAAACTTGAACAAGTTCATTACCGTTTCTTCGATTCTAGCTTTGACAACTTAAGTCAGTATCCTAAGCTTCCAACCAAATTCTTTTTGGTGATCACAAATACAAATGACATCTCATCTGAATCGTTCTAGAACAGTCGCATAAATTGTTAAGTTATTCACAAACCATCCCGTCATCATGATTAAGAAGAAGCTCTGCCTGAAAACAGAAAAATTTACCTGTGTGCCATTCCATGGATACCCATGGAAGCAGAATACCGATCCTCCATAGCCGCGGTCGCCGGAATCCCAAAGCTACGAGCGTGAGACAAAAATGGGTTTAGACAGAGCACCCATACTCCTCTCTCTCTCCTCCATTACAACATCCCCACGGCCGTCGACGGCGTCGCCGGAATCCCAAAGCTACAAGCTAGAGAGCGAGCGAGCGAGAGAGAAGATGGGTTTAGCAGATGAAGCTACGAAAGCCGATGAGATGAGCGTTTGCACTGGAATTTCAGTTTGTTTGGAAAGTCAAGATTCAATTTTTAGGCGCCAAAAGGAAATCACTTCCCCATCAAAATCGTCCGAGCCCGAAATCGGAACCCGAGGCAGGCGGTTTCTCCAGACGGTTTCTGGAGCCGGAGTCGGAAAGGCGAGGCCGGAGGCGAAGAAGAAGGAGGAGGGGAGGGCTTCGGGTGAGCTCGCGAGAGGAAGGGAGAATGGGTTGCAGAAGAGAGAGAAGGCAAAAGACCTCCTTCACGTTACAGAGAGGAGAGAGGAGAGAGGAGAGAGAGCGAGAGCTCAGAGGTAATAAATATTTACTGTGGTCAGTACTTTCCCCACCAACCGGGCCTAGGAGAGAGACAAAAGCGCTTCCTTCCATTGCCACGTCACGTGACACATGTCGTCTTTTGGGTGGAACACGCACGCCACGTAGGACGATGACGTGGTGTTTGGTAACCACTGAATATTTTCTCCCAAAAGCTGGTTCCCAACAAACCCAAAAAAAAAAAGCCTAGTTCCCAGAATTTTTATATGAGAGCTGACCGCAACTCGTGTGAACCAGTGTAGAATCGGGCGAGTTCAGTTCTGTTCCGAATTTAACTGACCCGATTGCTCAACCTTAAAAAAAATGTTACATTTGAGTTCTAACAAACATTATAAGGCCAATCCCTCGATTAGCGGAAGGGAAGGACCATCATAAAGCATAAAATTCCTTTCGTCTAAATAAATTAGATAGCCCCTTATATGAAATGAAAAGCCAATCATACAATACTTTTAGTCAATTGAAATCATTTAATATCGCGTCAATTATCAAACATAATATTATTTATATTACATAAGCTTAGAATGGAAATTTTCATACTATATATTAAAAGTCAAAAGTGAAAGACTTGTGGTCATTATTTTTCATAGAGGATGCGGTAGGAGAAGTTACTTTTCTTTTCAACTCTTCCAGAAAGATGCAATTCTCCTTTTCCCTTATCGATAATATATTTCACAACAA